GGTGGTGCACTATGTGTTAGTGACAGTATCCCCACCCGTGTCACACTGCTCCACCCCAGCAGCGCCGTCGTGCTCCTTGACTTCTTATCTTCTGCCGTAAGTTTTACGGAAGCCTTTCTCCCTTCACGTCTTTTTTTCTTGGCCTTTTTCTCCCTTCTCTTCCCCCTTTTGCCTTCCGCCGCGTTGGGTGCGTCTCACGCGCCGCTCGCACACCTCGCAGCCGCATCGGTCGGGTCTTATTCAGACCTAACAAAGATCGACTCGAATCTTTTCGATCGATGTTACAAAAAATGATCTGCTTGACCTCGATGTTGGAGGGTCTTCAAAAATTAATGACTGACCTGAGACCGAGGGGTACATTACTTCGACCAGTGCAGGGCCCGGACAAATCACTTTTTCAGTCGTTTTCTAGTTACCAGAGTCGGAAAATTACAGAGAAAACCACCTCCGGAGTCTTCAGTCACCATTTGAGTCGACTCCAGTCACTTTTCTAGCTACACTACATCCAGCCAATTTCCATTAATTTTCCATTTACCTAGTCAGATCTGACTATAAGCAAAGTGCACCAATTTCTGAAGTGTACTCCTCGAGGGGCCGCCTTGCCTGAGACTCAGCCTACTAACCTACATGCCGATTTATTCTGTGAGGCCATCTGGGTTCAACCGATTTTTTTAAGGTACCTTGAAATTTCAAAACAAGAGAAAAATAAAAAACACAACAGAAACGTGCGACACAACACGCTCCCCGCTGCCATGTTAAATCATATTCAGACACAAAAGGATACCACGCTCTCAATATGTGTTAACGGGACCTTTCAAAGAAAGGAGAATTCTTTTCATCCGTTGATTACCAGCGCTGGTCCGGGGACGGGGCCGGGTGGGCGAGCCGCGGGTGCGGCCTTGACAGCGGTAGGCCCCCGCACGCCCCCGTACGGTCCCTGTGATCGCGACGACGATTTCGGAGCCATCCTCTCACGGATTTTACTGCTCCCCTCGGCCGCCCCACCCTGTCTCACCCCGCCTCACCACACCCTCCCCTTCGCTAACTCAATCCTGACGATCAGATCCCACACAGTCTCCCTCCCGCCCGAACAGAGTCCCCGTTTAAGTGTGTGTGCGTGTGTGTGTTCGTGTGCGTGTGCAAGAAGGAGAGAGACTCCCTTATCCTGCCCTTGAGATGCCTGGGCGTGGAGCTAACAGCGTCATCAGGAGCAAGTGCTAAGCTACGACGGGGAGCTGCTGATTATGTCAACATTATTCATATACCTTTGCCTTTTCACAACCTTTCATATAAAAATACTCATTTTCGTGATAGTGGGTACTTTTTCTTACGGTGTATGCTCAAAGGAAGGGGGATGCTTGAGGTAGTGTGTGTTAGTAATGGGCGGGAAGAACGGTTTACACTCGCACTGGGTCCAAGGCCAAGGGGCGTTGCTTTAGTGCAGTCTAAAAGAGAAACCACCACAACCACCACCTCCACCACCACTAGCTGCTGCAGCAGCAGACCCACTGAGGCTCGGCCGTCTCCAACTTTTCTCTCGCACAGTCACCGTCCCCGCCCCCCGGCGCGCGGACCCCAGCTCGTATTTGTCTTTTCGACTCAGTCACCGACGCGCCTCTCAGGCTCCAGCGCCGTGCGTGTGGGTGCCCCGCCTTACGCCACCCCGCCCCGCCGCGCCACGAGGCACCTGCACGCACGATGGATGGAGTGTGCGGAGAATCGGGATGAGGCGGAAGAGGAGTGATCCTGCTGATCCTGCACGGCCTGGCGGCCCCGCCCCTGCGGTCGTATGCCGGAGACATTTCCTCGACGGCGACCTGACGGAAAAGCCGTCCTCGTACCCGGTCCGGGGTCTAAACGATCTCTTTTGTTTCAATCAGACGGCTGGCACCGAAATAAATGCATCTGCGGATGTCTATTTATGAGCCATTGGAACGAAACAGAACCATATCGGCTCTTTAGATGGCGAATCCAGAGACCGAGCGCATTTCGTGTTGTGCGAGCTGCCGGTGTTTCACCCCGGTTCGCTTACCCGAGGCAGGGCGGGGCGGGGGTGACTGGCGCGCGATAGGGCTGTGTGTGACGCAGTGCGACAGGCTGACACGCGTGGCAGGCGGTGTGACACGACTTTCTTTGGCGTGGCGAGGCGGGGCGGGGCGGGGCGCACCGTAGGGGTGGCCGACCCGGGCCACTCGCCGCTGGACGCCCCCTGCGCGCCACCCTTGTGCACCCGTGGGAGACCCAGAGCCCCCGGGTAATCGGAGGGCTCCGACTGGCAAGCGTGGCCGTCAAGGCCCTGGCCCCAGCCCAATAACAACTGTCTGCTGATGTGTGCTTGTTCTTGTTTGTCCCGCAGGTGGCGTGGGTGCGCGTCGACACCCAGACCATCCTCTCGATCCACCACACCGTCATCACGCAGAACCCCCGCATCTCGCTGACGCACAACGACGCCCGCTCCTGGTACCTTCACATCAAGGACGTGCACGAGACGGACCGCGGCTGGTACATGTGCCAGGTCAACACGGACCCGATGCGAAGCCGCCAGGGGTACCTGCAGGTTGTCGGTGAGTTAAGCCGGCCGGGGCCAAAAGCGAATTTCCCGGGCGTGTTCACTATCAGGCCAGAATTGTTAGCAGTAACCTTTCGAGGCCGAGTGTCGACCCACCGGGCAGCGGCCCGATGCATAGCGACCACCGCAGACCGCAGAGCTGTCTGCGCGCTGCGCACAGAGAGAGAGAGAGAGAGAGAGAGAGAGAGAGAGACGGGGGGCAGAGACAGGAGTGATCGACAGGAGCGTATTAACCGACTTGCGGTCACGTAACGACACCTGTCGGCCGTCTGATCGTATCATCAATTTAATAATGTCTCTGCTTTGAATAAACAAGAAAGTAGAACGAACGCGGTGGCAGCGGACAGCGATATGGAGGAGGCAGTCGCAGGTGGCGTGTGTGTCGGTGGTAGCCGGGGAGGGGGAGGGGGCTCAGTGCACGCGTGGGGGCGCTCACCGTAAAGCTGAACACGTGTAAACGCCCAAGGATGGTGACAGATTAGCCCATAGGGGACCGAGGGGACATCTCTCTCCCTCGCGCTCTCTCTCTCTCTCTCTCTCTCTCTCTCTCTCTCTCTCTCGCTCTCTCGCTCTCTCACTCTCACTCTCTCTCTCTTACCCTCTTCCTCCGCCCCTTTCTTTTGCGCTCTTCCCTCTCTCACTCTACCACTCTCCCTATCTATCTGTCTCTCTTTTTACCCCAAATCCATCACTGGCCTTGCGACCAGGTGGGGGCTTTCTGCATGAGCTTTGACGGTAGCGTTGTGGAGGGGCCGGGATCGTGGAGGGCATTTAGAATGAAGTAAAAGTTTTTAGCGAGTGCGCGGAGGAGGGGCGGCTCCGAGGGGGGCCTTAGGTGGCCGCGGTGATTTATCGTCACCTGGTCGTCCCCGGCAGCAGCAGCAGCGCCGCGGCGGTGACGAGCGCGCCGTAACTCTCCACAAGTTATTCCTCCCGACGAAAATTAGCAGCCGCCTTCGAAATTTTTATCACCCGGGCGCGATCGATGGCATATACTTACGGAAGCAGACGACGACGGGAGATAAAGAAAGGGGCACGCCTTGTCGGCTACACTGCTGACTACCTTTTCCATAAAATTTATTGATGATTTTTTTCCTTTATTTTTGCAGTGCCGCCCACCATCGTGGACAAGGACACGTCGACGGACATGGTGGTGCGCGAGTCGTCCAACGTGACGCTGACGTGCAAGGCGCACGGCTACCCGGAGCCGTACGTCATGTGGCGGCGCGAGGACGGCGAGGACATCAGCTACAACGGCGAGCCGGGTGAGTGGATTGTCGAGCGAGCAGGCCTATAGACAGACGTATGCAACTGCAACGTGGACGGCCCTATTCCAACATTGGTACATATCAACTGCTTTCAATGTCGAGCACCGTGAAAAATATCGTAGTAAATTTACGAAATGTTTGTGAACTCGAATTATAATTTAACAAGTTGAGTCCCAGAGGGGTATACATCACGTGTTATTGTGGCCATACGTGTGGCCACGTAGGACTTAACGTGTTAAGTGGTAAATTTAAGAGAGCACAATTTTTACTTGCCAATGCATTTTTAGTCAATAGGTACTGCATGTACTTTTACGATAGCAAATTGTAATTTTACGACTTGCGTCAAGGAAAATCTTCCTGTAGACCGTACTACTATTTTTCTTAGTTATTCTTGTTTTTCTTTTTAAAAATATCGTGTTATAGTTTTTAGATTGCGATGGTGTCCTTTAAGTAGTGTTGTCCACAGGGCGAAGGGGGAGGGGGGAGGAGATGTCGTCCACTTTCTCCCGGTGGGAGGCGGTGGTGGCAGTGCTGCTGGTGGCTGGGGTCGGCCGGGCCCCACCAGGAAGCGCCGACGCGGCGCGGCCCAGAGTAGTTAAGGCGCTATACGAGGAGGGAGTGGCGTTACGTGCCCGGTGCAGCTTATGAGTCTATCGCCGGCCACTTTTGGGGGCCGCGTGCGTGTGTGCGTGTGCGGGCGTCGTCAGGGTGGCCCCCTTGCCGGCTGGACCACCAGCCTCCTCCGCACACAACGCCCCGCCCTGCCAGTCGCAGCGCCTTTTAGACGTTTTTACGACCCTCTAGGCGCGGCGCGCGCCCAGCAGTATTGGTAAGCCTTTGCGGGATGTGTTGCGTGGTGGGGCGTGGAGTGGAGGGTCATTTTCGCGAGGGTCGCCCCCTCCCCTTTCACCCGAAGCCCCCGGACGCGCCCTCGGGCCGGACCCGTGAAGGCAGTTGGCACCAGCATCGCCCTGCTTGCCCCCAACACGCCTCGAGCCTGATGCGCGTGTCGACCGGAGGCAGACTTTACGACGGGCGTGGTTCACGGGACGAGGACGGCGTAGCGCGTCCGGGAGGTAGTCTTGCCCGCCCCCGCCGGGCTGCAGTGCCTCGCGCTGGCCTACCCGCACGGCGCTTTGGCTGGTGGCCCGCGCCCAGGAGGTAGACTGTCCCGTCGGGCTGCAGTGCTTCGCGCTGGCCTACTCGCACGGCGCTCCGGCTGGTGGAGCGAGCCCGGGAGGTAGTCCGACCCACCGCGCACCGCGCTTCAGTGCCTGGTGCCTGGTGCCGGCTTACGAGCACGGCGCACTTGGTACCTACACCGCCCACCGCTGGACTTGTGTATGCATGCACTCTGCTCTAGTGACGGAGCCAGACACCAGACCAATCCTCCCCTAGTCGACCTCAACCCCCCCCCCCCTTCTCCTCCCCACAGGGTCGTTCCGGGAAGCGTGCGAAGCGCAATGCTCCGTCTTTCAAGCCCAGGGCGAGATTCGCCTGACCTTTTATTTTGCTTCCGTATTTCAGTTTCTTCAGATCTTCTTTTCGTTCCAAATGGCCGGGGGCGATTCCACCTCTCGTCTTTTGCTCCGCGCCTAACATCTTGAAAGAGGGAGAGAGAAAGAGCAAAGAGAGGTGGTGGTTGGGTGGGGGGATACACAGCAGAGGGGCGCTGGAGAGAAAAAGGAAAGAGAGAAAAGAAAGCAGTAGTCGGCGAGGGGTCGGGTCGGGGGAAATCGCTTGGAGGTAATTTTCCACTTTAACACATTAAAGCGGCGCTGGCTCGGCAATATTTTGGTTCGAGTTTGTAGCGCTGCCAGATGTGCCGCCGCGACAGAGTTTGTCGCCCGAGGTGGTGGGAAGAAGGGGATAGGGTGGGGGATCGTCCTAGCGGATCTACCATCGACATGACTAAAAGGAAAACTCATATTCGTTAACTTATGAACAACGAAAGACGAAATAAAATCGGCATGCGGATGTGGAAGACACTGTTGAGCTTTAATAAAGTCTCATCCCCGTTTAAGTGAACTATTTGGGAACAGCTGTGCCCCCATGCCTATACCACGCGTCCCGGAAAGATCACCAGAGATTGCCTGCGTGCATTTCTCAAGGCTTATTGTTTGGCGAGTGACAATGGCCGCGGGGAAAGTATCTAATGCCAATGGCCGCCAGACCGGCCAGAGCAGGAGACGCCGTCTTTTGTTTTTTTTTCCATCGGGTCCCCTCCTTTTTCCGTCTTTGCCCCCCGCGTTTCATTGTTTAGCGATACTTAATCGACCGGACGGCCTCCAGATCTGCGGCGTGGCGGGGGTGGACCCATAAAACTTGTTCGGCTCCGCCGGCTGTCGTCCCTGGCGGCTCCTTGTGCCACGGTTGTGGGCCGCAGGGGCAAGCGGACACCCCGCTACGCCCCGCTCCCGGGCGCTGTCGCCGATGACACACGAGACTGCTCGGCCACGCCCCGCCGCGCCCCGCCACGCCCCGCCACACCCCGCCACGCCCCGCCACGCTTGGTCAGGGTTATCCATCATGATATCCAGTGGCGCGCCCCGCGCGGTGACACGACTCGGTGTCCCCCACAAAGCGTCCTTTGTGTGCCATCGCACCTCCATTCTCGCTCTCTGCGTGTGTACACTGTGCCCGAAGCGGGCGGTGGCGCGCGTCTTCCGTAACCGCCTCGGTAACCGCCGTTTAGTTTAAAGCGATTGCCACAAGCTGTATACATCTTATCATCCACTCGAAAGAATGAGGAGACATTTTTTATGTCCAGTTGGCAACATGCATCTAAGCGCATTGTACATGTACTTAATAGTGACGATTTTTTTTAACAAGTATAAAATCAATGTAATTTTACTGTCTATTTTACAGGAAAGTCAAAATAAATGTTGGGTGGTTTTCAGATAATTTTGGGTGCGTGCAAATAGGTGATCCCGGAGTAGACTCGATATTGGTGTTGTGGAGCGTGTGCGAGTGTGGCTCGCTGTAAAGAGGGCGAAGCCACTCCCGTTAGCCTTGGGGCGAGGCGGCGCCCGCGTGTCTGCTCTGATCCGATGTGAGCTCGGCTGATCCGCCCGGCGACAAGTGCGGACGCTCTGTGCGGTCTTTCACGGCAATCTGCTGAGGCAGGAAAAACTCATACAAAGAGTTTCCTCTATTGACTCCATGTATGAAACATTTTATTTAATTTTTTTTTTCGTGTCTTCCTTGTAATTCTTCCTTTTATTCGACGCGCGCGGTCTGAGTGAGGTGGCGGTGGTTGCCTTTTGCAGTCGCCCTGCTGTCACAACTCCTCGGCCTCAGCGCGTCTGAAAGCGGGGCACGTTCCCCCCGTCTCTCTCTCTCTCTCTCTCTCTCTCTCTCTCTCTCTCTCTCTCTCTCTCTCTCCTCGCTGTTTTTTCCCTCCCTTTTCCTCTTTTCCTCTTTCAAGCAGAGAAGTCACTTTCAGTCAACGGGAGGTAGGAGTGAGACCAGGCGACGTGGAATCGGCGCGCGCGAGACTCTCTAACGGCGCGAGAGGCTGAGCGGGAAGGGACAACGAGAGCAGAGGAGAAAGAGAGATGCCCGCGAAAAGATAAATAAGAGCAGGATGGCGACAGAAACGGGAGACTCGGAGGTGTTTGCCTCTTATCGTCGCGTTTCTAATGATCGGTGGCAAAATAAATTGGCAGAGGGACCTCATTGAGGGCGGCCAGCCAAGGTATCTCGGCGAAGTGGCGCGACGGGGCGTAGCGCGGCGGGGCGGGGCGTACCCGATGTCATTTATTATTGACGTCGTTCTTGAATGGTTCACCCCGCCTCCCTTTTCACCGGTCCGCGAGCGCCGTCTTATCAAAGAGGAAAGTAAAGGCCGCGCGTCGACGAAAAGTCGAATTAGAAAAATAAAAAGTAATTACTCCTCCGCGTTTGGGGATAAGCAAGAGGAATTAGGGGAGAGGGGGTTGATACGGTATCGCCACAAAGAGAGAAGGGGGTTCCGTTTGTTTTTTTTTGGTTTTTTTTTAAATCCACGGCGGGAAGGCGAGGTGGTGGTCCGCGACGTGAATCTTCAGCGTTAGTCTGGTTGGCGGACGGACTGAGACTGGAATGAGATGGGATGGGGTTGAAAACGAATGAAGAAGCTTGTTTTCAAGTCTGGTTGGCGAGCAAAGAGAGACGTACAGAGGAAGTACGCTCACTAGAGTGGTCGTGCTAGGGCAGGGAAGCTGTAAAATTCAAATTTTCCCAAATTGTATTCACACTGTTGCTAGTAGGTGTCTGACCATCAACAGTCTGAATTTATTCGCTCACCTGTAGCTGATGATTTTGTTTCCCAGTATCGTCAAAGCAGTTGACTAATAGCTCCATTGGAAGTGAGTTAAGTTATGGTTAAAAGGGGTCCATGGTCCCCCCCTCCGGTAGACTGTCCCGTCGGGCTGCAGTGCTTCGCGCTGGCCTACTCGCACGGCGCTCCGGCTGGTGGAGCGAGCCCGGGAGGTAGTCCGACCCACC